AGATGCTGTTGCTGTGACTTGTGCTGAGTGTCGGTGTGGTGGAATCAGTTGTTGGTGTGCACCAGATTGCCATTGCATTGCCTGTGGTTGCTGTGTTTGTTGTGGTGTGCTTGATCGCTGGTGGTGTTCCAGTTGTTGATTGCTGTTGATTGGTTTGAAAGATGTTTTGAACATTGTCCCTTAAACTACGGAACGATGGAAGGTTGCATGTGTGTGATGAGGGTAATGGAATTTTGTTGATTATTGAATATAAATGGTGGCTGATTATACATGGCTTGCTGTGGCAGCTCAAATGGTGGCATAAATTGTTGTTGTTGCTGTGCAGTTGGGGGGTAGCTTCAAATGGTTGATATTTTGGTTGTAATACATATTGCTGTTGGGGTGGAAAGCAGAAGTGGATTGATTCGGAACATGCATCATTGAGTTGCTGTATCCAAATTGTGGTTGTTGGGGAATCATTTGCTGTGCTGAAGCAGTGTAGATATTGGAATTTCCATTGCTGGGATTGATGTTGAATATACAATCACGAACATATGCATAGAATCTTTCTCTCCTACCAGCAACATCATCAAAAAAATGTGTTCTCTGGTTAATGAAATAAGATATTACATTTTGACATGATGCATGCTGATAACAATGATCAAGAGCAAGCTGATGGACATATGCAGCCATTGTATGGAATCCATCAAGACTGGAAAACTGCTCACTTTCGAGATAAGACATGTTGCTATAGCAAGAGCCTTGCAGATCTTGTCTTGGCAATTTCAATGCTCTTTGGATTTGGGGATGTTGCCTTTGCAGCTTTCTCTCTGTTGTTTCTTTCTAATCAACTTTGACTTCTGGTTGTTCTGCCTGTTTTTGGTTTTCCTGTGAGACTGCTTTGTGCTTTTGTTGGTGATTGTTTTTTGTTATTATTGTTGTTCTTTTCTTCTTCTTCTAGTTGTTGTTGTTGATTGTTGTTGTTCTGTTGTCTTTGTTCTTGTTGCTGTTGAGTGAGAATTTGGATGACAACGTAGTATACAATAGTTTAGTATTATGTAAAATGTGTTGCCAAGAACTCGGCAACATGATGGTATTTAAGGAATGACCATGGTACAATGAAAAGACTGTCAATGGACATTGTACCAAGGGTACCAAGTTTCAACCAACTTACTAAAAACAGTTAAATTTGATGGTACGAAGGGTACCAAGAGGTGGTACTAAGATTTTGTCAAACTTAGCACTAGGGGAGGTACCAAGTTCAAAGGTAAAATTACATAAGGGTCAAATTTCATACTTATGATATGTCGAGCTCTTAAATATTGCCTCTGCTAAATAAACTAGGTACATTTGAGTACTTAAGCTAAGTAACTATTTGTAACTAATTTAGGGAGGGGGGGGGGGGCAAGGGGGGGGGGACAAAGATGCCAAGGGCTTTTGCCTTGGGAGATTTTGGCTTTGGCAGTGGACCAGCAACTTGGTCTTTGTACCAAGTTTGCTTGTCACACCATGAGGGCAGAGATGTTTAAGTGCGCTACAAGAGAAAAGAGTATCACCTAAATCCTCACGAGAATGACCCTTCTTGGTCCATGGTACCAAGTTCAATTGGATTACGGGTTGTCTAATTGATGTAACTGTCACAAGTCCCAGTGAAATTACTTAGAAGTACTTAGTACCAACTTGGGGGTATGGTTTAGGTAAGACCCATTTTGAGTCCTTGTGTCTTTGGTATTTCGCGGAACCCTGTCATCTAACCCGGATGTGCCGTACAAAATATCTTTCTGCGAAGGGCGAGTGAGTCAGTTTTATTCGGGTAAGTCCGGTAAATTGGGAGTCATAATGGTCTTTGTTGAAAGAATCATTTACCTCATCTACTGATACATGATGTTCAAAGATCTTCAGTCTCTCCTTTGACACCTCCATCAAGGCTGGTGTCGTCGTCCTTTCATGGGTGCCACACTACTTTTGATCTTGCGCTTCTACTAGCTACTGGTAGCCAGTTTCCTTGTGCATGACGATGACAATGAGGAAGTGCCTTGTCCAACGTTTGATTCTGTCTCTGGTTTTGCTGGGAGCTCAGCAATCGGCAGCGTTTGTATCTCAGCGTCCCATCGCCCGAGTTCCAGGAGTTCCGGGCATTCTTGAAGTCCAACCAAAACCAATCGACCATGGACTCCCCAAATCTCCCTTGCAACGAAGCGCACGAGATTCTAGTAGTACTACCCGCTTGCAAGCTCTCCCCGCCTCTCTGTGTGCCCTTCCTCTGTCTCAAAAGATTTTCTTATCCTGTTTCCTCCCCACCTGTCTGGGATTCTGGAAGAGCGAATATGGCGTGTCATACGCCTACGGAATGGCCACCGCATTGACGTCCTTTTGGATTTACAAGGCACTCATGGTCGGCCAAAGCAGTTCGTGGGCCATTTGGCAAGCCTGTGCTCTCATCTTTTACGGCGTACGATTGTCCATCTTCCTTTTGTACCGACAGCTGTGCACACAACGACTAAAAGACATGGTCGAGCGCATTGAAGACAAGGCCAAAGCACGGGGAGGTCGACTCCAGCGAGCACCGTTTGTACTCTCGTGTGCGGGGCTGTACTTTGGGCTCTGTGCACCCCTCTTGATATCGTCCAGAGTCGCATCGTCTCAAATTCCGGCGTGGACTGTCAAAGTTTTAAAAGGATTGGTAGCTTCGACGTGGGGCGGTTTTATTTTTGCTGCTCTGGGTGATTTTAACAAGAGCTTTGTCAAGGCCATCAAGGGAGAAGACCACTTGGTCACGGGAGGGATCTACTCCCTTTGCAGGCACCCCAACTATTCCGGGGAGTTTGTATCCTGGACATCCAATGGATTGATTGCCATTGTGACCGCCATTGCGAGCAAGGGAGCCGGCATTCCAACCCCTCAGCTGGTGGGATATCTAGCAGCCAGTGTGGTGGGTGCCTTGGGACTCGACTTTGTCGTGCTAGGTGCCACCAAGGGTCTCGAAAAGAGGCAAAAGGAAGTATATGGTGAATCTGCAGACTACCAGACATGGATTGAATCGACGTGGGCAGGCTTTGAGCTTCCTACCGCGGCAGAAGAGGTTGTAGACCCTCACGTCAAGCCTGAAATTAAAATGGAGCAAACCGAAGAAGACACTGGCTCTGGAATATAGATGATGAGAGGTTTGCTGCATACAGAAGGAAAACTCTCGCAAAGTGGCCCAAATTTTGTTCATTTGCAATTTTGAGTCTTGTACTCAATCAACATTCCTCAACGCCAGCAACCTGCATGTACTTGCCACTACCGGTACTTTAGAAAAGAGAGCTACTAACTGGGACAACAACAGCTGAAAAGACACGGCATTGGGCATGGAGAACTGGAAATTTACTATGGCAACCACATGGCTACGATGTGCTGAAGAAGTTGCGTTGATTTGCGGTTGAATGAATGAATAACTTTTACTAGTACTTGTTTTTTAAGTGAGCAGTGGGAAGGGTGTGTGTGTGTGTGTTTATACAACCACGAAAAGCTAGAACTACAATACCTTTCGGAACTCTTTTAGAATGCTTGGCCAACTGTGGGTATCTCCAACGCATCGTCCATGAGGAAATCCAATAGGCTATCGATATCATTTTCGCCATCGGTCGAAATTGGACCATCCGAAAGGGTCATTGGACCTGACATGACCGAAGACGAGACCGTGGACATCTCAGACGACCCTGAAGATGCCAGAGTACCTGTGGCAGTGTAGAATTGTTCTTCTTTCGACACCAACTTGCGACAATCAAAGCTGAAGGATAAGTACTTTGGCGTAATGGGAAGACTTGCAAAGTCGGACGAAGCCAAGATCTTGCGTTCGTGGTGATGCACATAAGGTTCCAATGTCTTGAGAACCGAGTAATTGGTTGACCCAAAGTCTTCGGCATACCACTGACACAAACGAGGCAGTACACAGACATAGTGTTTGTTACGTTTTTTGATGGCAATGTGGTTGTGAAGGTAAAGCTTGCATGCTTCATCTAGCTGTTGCTGAAGCATCTCCACAGAGTAGATTGGAATTTCAGCAGGGTTGCTTGTGGAGCCACAGTTGATGGCAAAGTTAAGTCGAAAGTCTGCCTTTTGAAGAGCAAAGCAAAACTTGGAGTTTGGAGTGGTGAATCTGAACGGTACCGGGGGAATCGTCCGGAAGGGAGAGGTTGCCTTGAGCAATCTAGAGTTGATGGCTGGCGGGGCTTTGGCGTTTGTACTTGGAACCAACGGAGCCAACCGAGTCATCTGGGCACGAAGGATACAATGTTCTAGCTCGCTGATCGAAAAGATATCATCGCATGTCTGATATGACAAGCAACTGAATCGATTCACCAAGGAATACTGCGAGTCCGTTGCGCCGACCACGAGAGCGGCGTGTGTCACCATTACATGATAGAGGTTGAGGAAGAAGGCCAAACGAGTATCCTCTCGTAGATGGTTCACACAGACGTTTTTCAGCTGTGCAACCCTGTCGAGGAAGCTCTGAAAAACAGCATCACTTTTCTCAATATCGCGATGGAGCGCCTTTCTGAGGGCATCCTCGACTACTTCGAGGGGGTCGAGGAGCTCCGAGGGGAGAGGAGCTCTAAAGGACATTTGCCGCGTATTCATAATGAGTCGATTGCCACAGGCCCACATGGTGCTCTTTCGTGTGAACTCCTCCCTTGGTAAGTTCAAGTACAGTTGCGGTTTGTTGTTGCTATCCTTCTTGTTACGAACGCTGGTAGCTGCTTTCACGATTGCATCAAAGCACTTCTTTCGATCAGCTTCGGTGGCAAACATGATGTAGGTGGCCCGGCCCAAGGTTTCAACAACCATGAAGCAGCAATTGTGAATGATTGGACCTTCATCGCTTTCAAGGCTTCTGACTGCAACAATGCATTCCAGATTGATCGCAAAATGAAGTTTCCTTGAATCGGGATGGGCAAACGTAATGCGATCAGCAGATACTTCGGTCCACTCTTCAATCCAGTGGCGATCGCTCAAAGCCCGGGCAACGATCCCTTTCGTCTCATTCGAGGACTGTTCTTTTTCTGGAAAACTCGTTTCGCGTCGCCTCAGAAACTGAGAGCTGTACAGTTCCATCATTCGCTTGAGGCTATCTGCGTTCTTGCCTCTTAGAGCAACCTCAAGCATTTTCCCAAACAGACGACGGGTTCTTTCTGCGCTGGACAACCGAGGTGAGCATACTCTGTCCATCGAGGCCTCTGTCTCGTCGCCAACCAGATATTTTCCGACACCAAGAAGATCTCGGAAGGATTGTGGTGTTCGGAACACCGTCCGGCCATTCACATTGAATGCATAAGCTCTGGTATACTTGCCCTGTGAAGCGCACATCTCAATCCATGCGGGGCATAATGTATCAACAACGGCAAGATCATCGAAAGGTGCACTAGAAAGCTTTGGACGCTGGTCAGGTATAGCGACGTCTGCTTCATCGCTGAGGAACTCTTCATATTCCTTGTCAACAACAACGTCAGCTTCTCTCTCGTCAGTCGGAAATTTGTCGCTCTCAGATGTCTTCAGTGCCAATGCGTCATTCTCCTTTTCTTCAGTTTCGTCCTCGGCATTTTCGTTGTGCCCAGTAGCCTTCTTGCTAGGGTTATTTGTAGTATTGGCAGACTTTTCCAATGATTTGTTTTGGACCCAATCCAGAATGCCGAAAGCTTCTTCGTCGTGTTGCTTTGCATCGTTGGACGTACGAGACCCCAAGAACTTGAACTATTTTGGCATACAAGGAGAAAACAAAAGTTAACCTCAGTCATTCATTCATCATTCAGTCCATCAAACGCTGACTGGTAGACTTACCTGGATGACATAGGCATAACGCAGATAGTGCTGGAGGTGACCACCACCCTTCTCCGGCGTCGTAAGGTTCTCGTACATGACGAATCGGAGCATAGAGTTGCCAATCAAAGCCTTTAGCCCCAAGTTACCTAGCTCGGGTACATCCAAAAGCGACCACGTCGGCAAATCGAGATTGGAGGTACAAAACGACATGGAATACATGTCGTTGATGTTCCAGTTCCAATCTTCTTCAGCTGATTCTGGAACAGAGTCGCGTGGATTGTTGTTGTTATTGTTCTTTAAGCAATCGTGAGGATTGGGATGATAAGGATACTCTTCCGAGCATGTCTTTTGCTGTTGCTTCATTCGAAGATCCTTTTCTTCTTGGCGTTCATTCAACGGTTCTAGAATGTTTGGTGGTTTGCATCCTGGCGGTGTCACAACCACTCTATCAAAGAACGTATGGGCAGGAACAACAACTCTGGCCTTTTCCTTTTCAGTGCCAAAGGAGTGGTACATGTTTTGACTCTTGTCTTGTGCCCATTTCAAAAAGAGACCTGAAAGACTATACGCAAACAACAAAAACTTGTCAGTCCAGCACCAGAATAGAATAACTACGGGCAGCTCGTCCTACAACTGTGTCTCTTTCTTACCCTTTTGACAACCGCCCGAGACGTAGTTCCTTTGACGCTTCCAATCCTGCAAAGACAATTCCTTTGGGCTCGTACTTGAACTTTCCTTGCACTTGTACCATAACGCGCCGTTTCTTGTTGGCAAAGACCCGTTCGTTCCAATAGCTATTGGCGTCGTTCGTGGTATCATCGGGAGGTCGAATCAAGAATACCATTTGACCGACAAACAGTTCGGTTTCTACCGGTATGGATACCCTGGCATTGACGCCAAAGTCGGTCTTGTACTTTCCGTTCAAATGAAGAGAATTGATTTTCAGCGTCGGAAAGGAGGGGCGATCGTGTAGTAGACCACAAGAAGGACTTCCTCCAAACTTGGTGGCCGTCGCAAAGTTTTGATGCTGTCGAGACGGAGTAGCCGGACACGGCGATAGACTGCGATGAGGGCTATTCGCGCTGATGCGTGGAGTACTTCCGGAGGATCGTCGCGTCCCAAAACTCTCTCGTCGTTCGGGTGTTGCTCGACGAGGTGAGGACGAAATGGTCAAGCGTGGCTTTTGTGGTTGTTGTTGCTGCTTTTGTTTTGGCTGTTGTTGTTTTGGCTGCTTTGGCTGTTGTTGTGGTTGCAACTGTTTGCTGCTGTTTTTGGTATTACTACTAATACTTTTGGATCGGGCAATTCCCTTGGGCAGAGACTTTGTCAAGCTATCGGCGAGTTTTTGTCCCAATTCTTGTCGTGATGCGGCTCCGGATGGCGACACGAGTGCCACACCCGCTCCACCGGGTAAACTCAACTCTGCCATGGTAATGACAAAGGTTTCTGCTTCCGTCAAAAAGGCATTGCTCTGCTGCGACACTGGACGTGGTTCGGTGACCAAGTTGGTCAGGAGCCGCATGTCTTCACATCGATTGACGACACTGCGCAATTCTGCTTCTTGGAGTACAAATGTAACTCGATTGGCAACGAGACGATTGGCAGCCGGCACTGGAATGGCCACGAGTATCAATGTCAAGGAGCCATTCTTGTCGGTCAAGACGGCAAAGGAGGATGCATTGTTGTTGTTGTTGCTGGTAGCATCGGACGACGGCTTTTCCACACGAAAGCGACTTGGACACAGAGCCTTGAGAGCTTCAATATCTCTTGATATTGACGTCGACGGCACCGTGAGGATAGACGGAGCAACACCCATGTTGCAAAGACTTTACTACTGCTGCTGATGATGATACAAATTGGTGCTTCATGGAAGACAAGGCTGTGAGTGTGCCGTTCTGCGATGAAAAAGTGAGAGGAACTTCAACGACCTCTTCGGTTAACGTCTGGCCTGTCCGACGATATGAGAAGCACTATTATTGAGAGGGCCAGTGTGCCTCCAGCTGGAAGACCGAAACCTCCACACCACACAACACACAACGAAACACAAAGACAACCAAGAGAGACCAAGCAGGTACTGTACATTGATTGAAATCAAAGAATGGGCCGTAGCAGCAAGAGCAGCCGTCGTGACGACGACGACCGAAAGAGCGACCGCAAGAGCAGCAGGAGTCGTCATCATAGTGATCGAAGCCACAGTCCAGACTTTAAAAGACGCGACAAGAATAAGGAGACGGACGAGGACAAGTTGCTTCGCAAAGCCAAGGAGTTTGTCGAAAAAGAAGAAAAGCGCAAACGATCCAGAGACCACAATGATGATGACGGAAGCGATCGAAGGAAAAAGTCATCTAGACGGTCGCGATCACCCGAAGAGGATCGATCCAACAGAAAGCGGGATGACGACGAAGATCGCCGCCGCAAATCCGACAACCACAAGCACGCCAGCAAAAAACACAGTCGTCGAGGATCCAATGGAGGCAGTGATTCATCGGACGACGACAAGGACCGCAAAAAGCACAGCAGCAGTAAAGATCGTCGCAGCAGAGATGAGCAGCGCAAACACAACAAACACGGCAAGAAGAAGGAAGAGAGCAAGAAGGACCGCAAACATCGAAAGGAAGACAAGAAACATTCCAAGAAAAGAAAAGAGGATGGAGGATCTTCCAAACCCAAAGCACAGAAACCCGACAAATCCAAGTTGGTTCCCTTGGGATCTCCCCCTGGAAAACCTCCAGCGCAACTATTGGATGCGGAAAAAGATTACTTTGCGTATCATCAAAAATTGTGGGTTTGGTTATATCGGGAGGAGGGGGTCGCCTTTAACGACCTCACTTCGGAAGAATCACGCAGTGCATTTGAACGATTCGTCGAACAATACAATGCTGGAAAACTAGAAGCCGCCTACTACGATGAAAAGGGCTTGCCCAGTCAAGCCATTGATGAATGCAAAACGACACGACACAAATGGACGTTTCAAACCAGCGCCACTGAACGAGAGGGATTGCAAATGTTGCAAGATGGCGTGCGGAAATTAACCGAGTACAGCGCCCCCGGGACGACTACTACAGACAAGAAGCAAAACAACAACACCAAGCCATCGGTTGCTCCAGCCGTGGCCCCACGCAACGATGCTACCAAAGATGATAATGATGACGACAATAACGGACGTCGCCGGTGGACGCCAGAAGAACGCATGACAAATCGTGTCGCCCACAAACGCCTCAAAGAGCATGTGCGGACAGCCGAAGAAGAATTTGGTGGCGGTCGCGCGGATTACGGGCGAGAACGGCAGCTGGAAAAGAAAAAGGAGGTCGCCGCCAAGCTGCATGGTGCCGCCAGAGATCGTGAGGATGCAGGAGTGACCATTTCCGACGATGCCTTGTATGGCGATGGTGGTCATGGTGCCAGCTTCCAGGCGGCACTGGCCAGGGAACGGAAACGCAAGGCACAACGAGAAGACAGCAAACAGGCACGAATCCAAGAGCTGCAGCAAAAAGAACAAAACAAACAAAAGGCAATGTTGGACATGCTGGGGCTGGCGGGGATTGCGCCAGGAAAAAAGATTCAGATTGCCCCGCGCAATGATTCCAAGTAGTAGACGCTCTTTCAGGCAACTGTTTATCAGCATGCTCCACCTGTTTTTCTCTTCCTCCTCAACTCAATGGAATCGAATCAACACTGCCAATATGTCACAGGACGTGGGGCAGCCTGAATAAAAGTGTAATGCAACGATTTGATTTGGCCCATTTAGCTAACTAGCACAAACTCCTGCCACCTGCCACCTAATCCTCCCACCTGGCCTAACATACCCAGCATGTTGATATGTTTCACGCTTCTACTCTTCAAGATTATTCTTGCTGTTGCAGGTTGAGTTCACTTTCCTTCTTCTCGTCTGCAATCCTTCTTGCTAAAAGTCCTCTGTGAAACTGTTCCTGCGCCTTTTTCGCCGCCAAGCTCTTTCTCTCCATTTCAATTTCCTTCCATTTGGATCCATCCAACCACTGGTCCAGATCCTCAATATCTGTTCCGTACTTTCCAAAATGTCCCACTACAGCCGAAAAGGTCGCTTTGAAATCCTCATCACTTTCATACTTGCGGCCAAATGGATACAATCGCATTTTAATGTGTCGTCCTGTGACGTTCATATCACCCACTTCGAAACCATCATTGGGATGCCAGAGTTGATTCACGCCGTGCAGTGCCATCATTTGAATTGGTCTTTTGCTCATTCGAGCCAAAGTGTAGGCTCCAGAGAAGACTGGTAGGAGACCTTTCTCAGGAGTTGGGTTGAGTTGTCCCTCTGGGAGCACGCCGACATCAAAGCCGTCTTCAAAGGCCTGTTTGGATGATTTCAAAAAGCTCTTGAAGGACTTCCGGTCGTATTCGTTCGTTTCTCCTGGCTTGTTAGCTACCATGTCAATAGGGATAAAGCCGGATTGTCGAAAGAGGATTTTTGTAAAGGGATTATCTTCCAGTTGTTTCCACTGCAACAATGCAAAATTCCATCGGTAGATAGGCAATGAAAGAGACAACCCTGTCAGGTTTCCGAGCATCAGACCAACCGTTTTATAGATTTTGTAAAACTTACATATACCACTTTGATCGGTCGTTTATTTTTGCCTCTCATGGCAAGATCCTTGGCCAAGAGGATAAAAACATCCAACATGGACATGTGATTGCACACCCATATCGATGGTTCTGGGTTTTTATAGGAGGGAGCATCCTTGTCGGTAATGACATCAACCTTGCAAAAAGGAATCAATCGCAACGCCCATCGTGCGACAAACTGTCCCGTGCTCAGAGCCCATTTCTGTCGGCGAGTTTCACTGCCAATCCTCAGCACCCCCAGCAGTCGGATGATGGAGAGCGACGAGATAAAGCCCAAGGCCACAGTGGCGATAAATGCCACCATAAAGAACTTGGTCACATTTTTGGTAAAGTTGCTGAGTGTGCTGCCTGATGATGGTGTTGATTCGCTTGGCACGGCATCTTCAGCTATAGTGGTCGTGGCCACTGTAGAGAGCAACGGCAAGCCACCACGGGATCGTTGGCAAGGCAACAGAGGGCTCTTCGAGATGACAGATCGAACCGAAACTGGCGATGACCGTCTTGACGAAGGCACAGAGAATGCGTTGCTTGTCGGCACCAGCAGTGCCGATGCCAACAACACCACAAGTTGACAGGAGATCTTTGGAATGCTTTTTCTCATGATTTCCGTTCTGAAACTCCCACCAGAAGAAATGTGGCCGCAACCTCTAGCTAGTAGAGCTGTTTCTCTTGTTAACGAAGACGTAGGGTATCTTTTCGATAGTCTAACTAAGGTAGAATCGTCTCACCAGTGCCGTGTGCACTTGCTTACCTAAGGTGTTTGGAGAATCGTTGACATCATCATCTTGCCCACCTCATGCATCCTTTCTCACTCCAAGATACAAAAGATACCCCGCGCTTGAATTTGGAGGTGCGTATCTTCTGCGCTTATCCCTCAAATAGAAGATATCCATACATCTCAACGCCCGGAAGGCCATCGACACAGTCCCACTCTGAACGATCTGAGGTCAGGAACAACCACCTAGGTGCTGCACTTATACCTCAAATATAAGATGTCTCATGCCAACAACCGAGACAGGATTACGTGGTACCACCTGGTACGGGCACCACAGCTCCAGACCCAACGAAGGTCTGAGGTCATGAAAAACCACCTGGGCGACAGGAAGATAGTTCTGTGAACATGTCCTTCCTATTCTCCCCTTGTAAGCTACTACTACATTTGTAGTAGCTAGCTAGGGCTTTCCTCTGTCCGGAAAAGTAAAGACTGTCTTGTCATACTAGTAGTGTGAACAAGCAGGAACCAGAAACATTCGCCGCATTCGCAATAGTTTTTCAAGGTATTTCAATGCAGAAAGTTGCCATTTGTGATTCTACAGTAGAGGGATGGTACGGGCAGAGTATCTAGCTAGGCCCTGGCAAAAGTTCGAGCGTTTCCACTCTGCTGCGATTTCAAACAAAATCCTAGTTCTCAAACATCAACCCTATGTTGTGGTCTTTGCTAGACTTGTTTTCATGGGAAAGAGCGAAGCCAGAAGATGGACTCGAGTCTAAATCTCAAGCTACCAGGTACCTATCTCCCTGAGCTACAGCCCAGAAGGGAATGGGCGTTTAGTCATCCTTCTTGGTCGTCTCTGGTGAATTGCTTATTGCATTCTTCTGTTTTGAATCCCACAGCCCCATTGTGGGAAACCATTGCAAGTTGGCCGGCACCTTTGCGACTGGACCACTCCCAAATGCTGTTGTAGCAGTCAACTTGTCGTGCCCTGATTCCAACCCCCGGAAATACGCCACAAAGACACCATTGATGGTGATGCAGCCAGCCCCATGACAATGATTCATTAAATGCAACCAGTCCCACACATGCTGGGTGGGCCGTGCTGCAAAGTTGTGGTTATGGACTCCATAGTTACTGACAAAGAGCGTGGTGGTAAACAGTGGATTCAGAACGTTCCATATGGGCGGCGCCGGTGGGGCGCTGGTGGGGATAAAGGCATTCTCATAGCGCGTCGTGACCGATGCGAGATCCGATGCGTTTTGAGTGATTCCACCGGCAATGAGGGGCGAAAAGTTCATGAGATAATACAATCCAGTGGAAAGCTGCATATCCCGCTGCCATTGTTCGGCAATGGCTAGATATCGACGAAAGGCTTGCTTCGGCGTCATGCCCTGGGGTCGATAGACGACAGTCATGGCGGGATCATTGGCAGGATCGCTGTTTTGTGTGAATTCATGGAGACGCAACATGCCGTTTACGAGTCCTTGCCCATCAGAGTTGCCTCCTTCTGCTGCTTTTTTGGAGATGAAGAGCCCCATCAGTTGCAGCTGAGCCAAGATTGCCAAGTAGATCTTGACCAAAAAAATCCGTATAACAGTTCCACCCACAATGCGGACAAATCTGAGGCAATGGGAAAGCCCAAAGTGCAAGGGTTCATGCTTTGGAAAGACAGTTGCATTCGGTGTGTTACCCTCCAGTATTTCCATGGCTGTGAAACCCACTCGGGAGGCCATGACGCCATCAATGGTTTCCGCTGCCGTTCCAAAGGAAGTGACGACACGAAACAGCAGTTGCGGTTGGGAAGGATTTTGATCATACCAGAATTCGTAGCGCACCGCGGGTCCTCCATTGGCGACATGAAATGTAGGATCAAACGGTGCCTGATGGATCTGTTCCACCGTCAAGTTGGAGCCTTGATAGACTCGCGCTTCAAAGGGCAGTGATGGATCTGCCAAACCTTCCGTTCTAATACCGGACGCTTCGGCCAGCACCTTGGCAGCCTGTTTCACGGCATCATTGTGGACTTTGGAATCGGCGTTGACGACGACCTCGTCCAGATCAAATGCGTAGGAAAGACACAGTCGCATCGCCGGCAGCACCGATCCAAAGGGACAGCGAGGGTAGTCCCTCACTGTAACCTCTGTTGTTGGTGTTTTGGCATCAAGCATGTTGGCGGCATTGTCGTGCTCTTGCCCACTATTACTGCTCATGGAGGCAACATCTTTGTCTTCCAAGGCCTCACACATTTTATTGTTGCTTTTTGGTTTGTCCATTCGATTCTATGAGAGAGTGCAAGTTTTTGCGGTGTAATTTTTCTATCATAGAAAAAAGCTTCCCTTGAATCTTCAATCGCATTCAACTCATCAACAACCAACGTGGCAGGAAGCGACAGCTCTGGCGTTCCGAGTTGCAATTGGCGTTTGTAGCGGTACCGGTACAGTACCGTACACTGTATCAACACTGAGAAAAGCCTTCATAAATAATGTAACGTGGCCAAACCCGATCGTTAATTCTATAGTTTCCCAAGTTTAGGGTTAGAGTACTGCTTCTTGGAAGCTCCAGACTGCTCTTCAAGCTCACAAACTGCCTCCCAAATTGACACAAGAAGATGATGCACCAAGAACCGATGTTCAACCATCATTCATCTTCCTCATTTCTAAGAATTACGGTGTAGATTGAATCCAGACATAAGAGCCATTATTGCAACAATTGAAAAGACACAACAACAGCAACATGTCGGAGGAGGATCCAGATTACGACAACGATATGATGAGCATGTCCGAGGAGGATCCAGGATCCAGTGCCATGATCAGCATGGTGGTAGTCTGCAGCTCGGCCCTTGTCATCTTTGGCGTGATTTACTACATTCTGTGGTACCGCGCCAAAGACAAGCACGAAGGATTCGGTGCTACACCACAACCATCTACTACTGGTAGTGCCGAAGATGCGCGGCCTCCGCCTCCTTCCAAATTCACGCAAAAAATAGAGATTAAAGAATACCAACCAGGCGATCCAATCTACGACACCCTTCTAATTGGAGGGACGGTATCTCTGGGTGTGCTCATGTGGATCGGTGCCACCATTGTGCTGATCATGTCTCTGGTAGACCAATCCGAGTTCCAAAACGCCATGCCGAGTGACTTTTCATCGTTGGGTCCCCGAGGATGTCGGGTGGAAAAATCTACCAGCTATACCTATTATGATCAGAGATTGGATGCCCTCAACACCTTGTGCGTGGAAGAATGGCAATATTCCGTTCAAGTAGTAGTTTCGTTGATGGAAGAAGAAGAAGAAACAACCTTTGTATCCGCCCCCATTATGTCAGAGAATTGTCGATCCAAGTGCGACGTCTGCTTACGCCAAGGTCGACTCTATGGAGCAGAATTCTATCCCGGGCTAGACCCCACCACGAGAGGAACCTACATTACCAACCAAACCTTTGTCGAATGTTGGGAACCCACCATTCCCGTAGAGGATCTGTCAGACTTTTATCAGTGTGATAAGAGCAGTGGAACCTGTTTTCTGTTGGAAGACACATCGGTTCGATTAGAAGCAGAGAGGAATAGCTCCCAAATTGGACTCATTAGTGCCTATGCTTGCTATGCCGGTGGCGCTTTATTGCTGCTTGTGGCAGGATTCTTTGTACTACGCAACAAACAAGTTCGCGAGGCGGCGGAGCTGGGTAGGGATACCAAACACGTCGATGTTGTGCTGGAAGAAGGTGATCATCATGTGGCCGAGCAGGAGGACCAACAAACAAAAGATGACAATGAGACAGCAACGAATCCAGGTCAAATGGATCAGGACCGAGACACCAAAGATGCAATGATAGAAGAAGGTTCCGGAGAAGCCGCCTTCTATAGAACATAACTTGGATGACCAATTTTGATTCCGCGGCGCAACACGACGGCACCGATCGCGTGGCACCGCTACAGTGAAAACGTCGGACTGCTGCCAAACGACGCAAGAATTGCTTTGTGTATGTTTGATAAGCATGTGTCGTTTTGCAACCAGCGTTATTGGATACTCTTGTTGCCTTTCTGTTAGCTAGCTAGTGGCTACCGGAAGACAATGTCAACACAATCTGCTGGCAGAACGGTACCATCCAACTTGATGGCTCCTCGCAAACTCACCTCTCTGTTTCAGATGGCTTTCTTGCGAACTCTTACTATTGCAACCCCAGATTTGAAGGCGATGTCAAGTCAACTTGTTGATATGGTGGTTGGCCCCAATGCAAACGTTACCTTGGGCTCCTCTAAGGACATTGGTTTCATGAAGGCACACGAGCGCAGCTTGGGAACACTGTGGTCTCTTTTGACAGAAACACTGTTGGCCTGTGATGGCACTGTGGTAGAGGACCTCAGCAGGTCGGCCAGGAGTGGCAGGTCCAGCCAAATGAGCCAAACTTTGTATTTCACAAGCACCGCCACGGTTCTGAGTTTATGATTCCTCACAATTTTAAGATTCCGATTTCTCACAATTCCAATTTTCAATTTTCTGATTTCTCACAATTCCAATTTTCAATTTCTGATTTCTCACAATTAAAATATATTTTCAATTTCTCACAATTATAATTTTCAATTTTCCGATTTCTCACAATTCCATTTTTCGCCGATTGCTCACAATTCAAATTTTCAATTTGACTTCCCACAATTCCTTTTTTGCCAATTCCTCACAATTGCTATTTCGCTAATTCCTCACAATTCCATTTTCGCCGATTCCTCACAATTTCTTTTTTGCCAATTCCTCACAATTCCATTTTTGCCGATTCCAAAATGGCTCATGGAATGAACAGACCTGCTTTGGTGCTGCTATGATAGCTCTCTGGCCATTGCAACAATGAAGGCATCGTCTTCGCGCTTGCTTCTGTTTGCTGTGCCTGTTGAAGTCCAAAACTGGAAAAAGATTGCCCTTTTATAATTAACAAACCATTTAGAAAGAGATTAGGAAAGAAAAGGCAACACACGATTGCCGTAGCTAAGCAATCGGGCAAGCTTGATGTACCGTATTGTGCGGGTTAGCTGCACTTTAGCTTTCTAGATTTCCCTGCAGACTTTTGCGGGCCCCAAACTGGCCTTGCGTTGGGATTTGGACCTGATGCCAATGCCAATTGTTGGCATTGCAAATTTACCGACCATTGCTTCTACTACTGTAGTATTTAAGAGTCATGTATGTGCGACTCCGACGTCAACTGTGCTGCGACGACGACAAGTGTATCCACTTTCGTTTGGCTTTTCGTCTTCCTGTTTGGCGCTTTACTTCGCCATTTGCAGGTTCCCAGCCCACGGCGCGAAACAAGGCTTCGGAAGCAGTATTCCCATCGTGGATAAAGGCAACTCGTGCGTCTCCTTGTTGTCCCAGAACTTGCGTGAGTTGTCGCAAGAGCGCTGTCCCGTAACCTTTTCGTCGAGCGTGTTTCTCCACATGAAGCATACCAATGGCACCTGTTTCATAGCGCATAATGCAAGCCACCAAATTGCCATGAGTGTCTTCTACACCCAAGCAAAAAGTGCCAGTATGATCGAGTTGGATTCGACGAAGCATGGAAGGCAATGATTTGGACGAGCGATGTTCCCACCAGGAATCCACGAGTATAGCATCGGAAGGTTCCAGGGATCGTAGTAAGGCACCATCGGGCAGTCGTTGCCACACAAATGATCCGTGCCGTGACGAAAACGGGTCTTGTGGGGTTGAGCTGCCAGGAGAGTCAATAGTTGTCGCTTGGTACTTTTTTCCATCATGGTACCCTTTCTGGTTGTGGTCGTTGGACAGTAGGGGAAACATGGAATGTTCAATTTCTCGTACACGCTGGCTTTTGTCACGTGTCTTTTCGGAGGCTGCATTCACGAACCGTGGCGCCATGATACGAGCATTGGCCAGATGGGCATCGACGTGACCTTGCAAGACGTTTTGCAAAGTTTGTTGCAGCTCAAGGGTATCCTCTTCCAAGTACTGAAGCGCTTGCACGCACGCTTCCAACGTCGAAAGGCAGTGCTCTTCGGGTTCCCGCCGAAGGGCATCATAGATGGAAGATCCAGCGGACGAAAACTGGACCGGTTGGCAGTGTCGGACTAGGTCTGGCGAGTCTCGGACCATTCGTTTGGCCTCAGTCCATGTGCCATCCACTAATATCAGTAGATTGTCGTTGTTCATCCTGTCAGTAGAATCGTGTGTGCCATCCTCCAAGGGAGGAGTCGTCCTTTGAATCAGGGCTGATGTTGGCATTTCTTCCAGGGAAAGAGCATCCTCCCTTGGGTACAACAAAAGTGGTTTTCTCCCTCTGGCCAGCAAATCCCTGACTGGCTCGATTGCCTCCGCATCAAAGGTGTACCCGACAATCACCTGCACATTTTTCAAGACTAATCGCAACAAAGGGACCGTGGACAAATTCTTTTTGCGGCGTTCATTGGGATGCTGAAGAATCAGTATATTTGTGCTGGTTGCAATCTTGTCCTCTGGCAAGACATGGCACAAGCAAAGAGAGCCAGGGCGAGCACAGTGGCGACAAACGGGTCGCAATTGCGCTGCTCGTTCGCCGGCTCGTCGTTCGCCCTTGGCGACACTGTGAGCTACCTTGGATCGTAATAGTTGAAAAGCACCTTCGTCTGGCAGCTGGACTGTTTCTTCTTGTCTGCAGCTGCCAACTGTGGGCGATGGTACCGCCAAAGCACTCACAGACTCATCACAACGAAGAGAAAGAAGAATCAGGATAGATGATGTGGCCCAGGGTAGTTTCAACATCATCTTTGATGATTCGAGGGAGAGTTGACTTTCACTCTCTTGATACCGGTAGTCTAGCTGGCCTTGGTTGGGAGCTAGCTAGCTACTGTCGCGGAAACAACCGGAAATCTAAAACCACCAGAAAACGCTATTTTCCTTATTGTTATCCATAATTGTTTATTCCCAAGCCTCATTTTTATTTTTGTATTCCAAGCCCCCAGATTTCCGGTGGTCTTCCCACGACTCATGTAGAAATGTACTGAGCTCTACAGACGTCCGGTGGTTTCCGCGAGAGGTTCATGGCACGATGGCGCTTTTGGCTTGGGCCTGGGAGAGAAATGACGTCAGATTTTTATTCTAACCCCAACTCTTGTCAAATGACAAAGGAGGTGCGGTTGTGGTGTTGTGGTGGTGCGGTGGCGGGCTCAATCAATCGTTTGACCACTTATTACTTCTCCCCCATCTCTCCAACTGGAAGATCGTCTGTGTCAGCTTTTTAAAATGACTTGTTCCGACAAGCTCGATTAATTGTTTCCAGGTTACAAGTCAGGGGTGCAGAATGCATAGACTACGAGTTGACAGAGTCCAGCCATAGAGCGTGCAGCTGTCTCTATTCGCTATGAACAGCTACATCGTACCGGTACTAGCTCGCTAAGAGCAAAAGATCCACCAGCCAAAGCAGCAAGCAAGTAGCGCATGAAATGCATGCAAACTCGAGCTTAGAGCATTCAGGTTGTCGTGAACAGGCTCCCGAAGAAGTCCTGACATCCGCACACTGCAAGACTATGAGGCAGCTGGCTTGTCAGGTGGGTGCGTGTGGCTATGAGGAAAGCTGCTTAACTTATGGATTTCAAAGAAACGCGAATCCGTGACTTGAGGCTGACGCAGTGTCTCGTGGTACAGTCGTATCTTTGCGTAGAAGCCCGTACGTGTGTACTAGCTAGCTAGTACTCGAGCACAAGTCAGTGTTTGCACCGTGGTCCTCAAACGAGGATCGCTGAGTCACCCATCCATCATGTTTCTGCTCTCCCCCATCAACGCTCACAAATTGATCATTTTTCTCGAATTCAATCATTATCCTTCCAACATGAAGTTCACAACAACCATCGCTGCCCTCCTGATTGGATCTGCCTCCGCCTTCACTGGCTCGGCCCCTGCCGCAAGATCATCCAGCACTGCCCTCAACTTGGCTGTGGGTGAGACTGCCCCTGATTTTGCCTTGGTTGACCAAAATGGAAAGACTGTCAAGCGATCACAGATCAAGAAGCCATTGGTGGTGTACTTCTACCCTGCTGATGCCACTCCGGTAAGGATATTTACGCTGTTTGTTTCGTACCTAACCGATTGGTACTTGTCGACCAACAGTTCACTGACCTCTTCTAATTCTCCACTGTGCTACAGGGGTGCACAGTTCAAGCTCAGAGCTTCAACGAACAAGTCAAGGACATTCGCAAGACTTTTGGTGCCGAGCTTGTGGGTATCTCAGGCCAAGATGTCGAGTCCAAGCAAGCATTTGCTTCAGAGTTGGGATTGGACTTCTCCATCCTTGCTGATGAAGGCGACGCAGTCCGAAAGGCATTTGGAGTGCCAAGAGCCGCATTTGGACTCTTCCCAGGACGTGTTACCTACGTGTTGGACAAAGACGGTGCCTGCCAAACTGTCTATGACGAACTTGCTGATGCTGCCAGTCACGTTGAAGTTGCAAAGGAATCTCTTTCCGAATTGAAGGGGGCTTCCAAGAAGGGAGCCTCCAGCCCCCTTGGCGCTATTTTCGGCCGCTAAACAATCTTTTGCAGCATCAAAGAGGACAAAGAGGACAAAGTGTACATAATTGCAGCTAGTTTGAAGGTTATTGATTTAGAAGAAGGCCTACTATGATAGTTTAACATCTATCTGGTGTCGGATACAGTGATGCTATGGCTACCCTGGCAACTGGCGGGATGTACTTTGAAGCAATCAAGTCGTTCTTTTGATTTGCACTTTTCGAAGCTGTTTGTAGTGATGACTTCATCGACCTGTGCCTTCCTTCCGTTCTGCTCCAACGGCCGAGTTTTGACCGAACTGCAACAACCCCAGAAGTGGATACTACCCCACTCCAGACTCCAGCAGCACGAAGTCTTGACCCCGAAATTGGAGCATGCTGGCATGGATCTTTGGTGCGCTGGTGATTGGTGAGGTGCAGCCGTACCACATTGTTACCCTCCAGCGAAGAAGGTCATTGCAATGCGATGACGATATCTTCGAAGAACATCCCAGACTACCTCCACTTCTGCATTCTCAGGAGGCAGGGTACGACGAGTCGTGCAAATTCACGAAATTTGCCAAATTTGCCATTTTTACGTTACTTCTGCCAGAAAAACAAAAGGTACCACCTAGCATGTCCATGTGGATTTAACTACACACAAGACTCGCATTTAATTGATTGTTTACTTGTGCAAATGCTGTGCGCGAAAACAACCAAAACAGCCAAAACCACGAATTCGCGGAAAACCACGGTTTCGATGCTTCCGACAAACACAAGTGCCGTTTACTTTGCTTGGCTCCAGACCTCTTCTTTGACGACGACATAACCATCTGCTGACCGATCAGCCAGGGATCACAAATGGGCTCCACCCAGACATCGCATACATTCTCGCAACTCCACCCGACCAGCAGCACAACAGTGTTGCCCTAACAATATTGATTGAATAGCTTGTGTACCCCACACTCCACCGAAAAATCAAAATGCCCATTGTTGCCAAGAGCCTTTGACGTTTGTGTGCGGTGGCTCTGCTGCTACCTTTTGCTTCGGTTAGTGTTCACCAGATGGATCTGGCCAAGGTGCGAATGCGCTTTACGGACAGCTAATCCTTGGCAAACCGGTTCCTCCTTTTGTGACCATTTCGCAATCGGTCAAGGAAGGTGGCTTGGTGCGTT